TGTAGTTTGTAGCGGTATAGTATAGTGGGAAAGTGAGGGCGAATATGGCTCAAGCAAAATGACTGCTCTGAAAAGCGTGTGAGCATCAGAAATAATGCTCACCTGGGCGAATCGCTTGATTCACCAAATCGATCGACAAAGACGATCGTCTTAGGATTCATTTTTTGTTGATTCTATTTTAACCGTAATCTTGAACTAGTGAGATGTTCCCGCAAGTGAAAGTAGCCACTGCAGTAATGCAATGTCAGCAGCCAATCAAATGCTTCCTTTAGTTAGCTCTCCAACTACGTATCAGTTCTTTTCTCGCAACACTCAATTGCCATTGGCTGTTTCTTAGCAAGGTTAAGGCATGCAGACACCACTTGATTTGTGGCATTCCGTTGCCACTGATGCTTTTAATTCATGCGGGATCGTATTAAGCGAGCTCGCAAGATAACCCAAGGTAACGGAAGCATTTGAAAGCTGTGAATCTTTGGATCCCCCATCCGACTGCAAGAACTTACTAGTTTCACAACTGCAATCTTGAAAGACGATCGAAAGCAACACCATGCCTAAGTATCTCATTCATAAATATGATGTCACGACGGAGCGCGAACGACATGATTCATCAGGGTGATAAAAGTGATCTTTGAACAAAAGTGCTCTATGAATTAAGTGCTTTTGCTATGTACATTAACTGTTTACGTATAGGATATGATAGATGTACAAGGATATAAGATACGCATGATGAAATAGAACATTGTATGTACTGTTTGGATGTGATCATCTTATCCCTTTGTGTTTGGACGATCACCTACACTGCCTTATTGATTTGCATCATGATGAAATGGAACTTTTGTGTGTACTGCTTGCATGACTTTATCCCTTTGTGCTTGTGTGCCATTAATCATGTGTTTCGATAATATTATGCAGTGTTATTGTTAAGGAACGCCGAAAGTCTGTCTCGTTTCAAGTTATTAATATAAATATCGTCATCATCCACGTCGTTTTTACTTCAATATGATCCATTAACTATCAATTGCGACTTCAACAGCAACAAATCAATGAAAAATATTAAAGAAGTTTTGAAAATTTGATACGATTCCATTGCAGGAAAAATACATCGAATCAACAAGTCGAGAAAGAAGGTTTCCATGCCATTCAAATCGTTTGTAATAAATTTTTCAAAATGTGTTCATTCAACTTCTTCAATATTGTTGTGTATTTTGGGTTTCTCAGTTGCTTCGTACGCGCTTTTCTAGTGCTTCCTCGTCATTATCTGCTATATATCTGCAAATGTGGTTAGTTGATGGCAATGCCCTTATCTCTTCTGGGTATCATTAGCTCGTCCGGTCTTCAAGAAAATTTTCAAACTATCCTATGATAGATGAATACAATTACTTCGCTCAGATTGAAGAGACGAATCTATAATTCTGAACGACCGAGAGTTGGAATAGGTGAAGTGGGTGGTATGGGTCGCTCTTATTGCTGCGGTGGTTATTATGACTACGGATCTGGCACGTACGGCGGATATGGCCGCGGATGGAGTGGATATATGTACAACTACGGTGGTGGCGAGAATAACAACTACGGCGGTACCAATAATATTGGAAGCATAAACACTGAGAACATAAGTGCATGAGGAGGAACAACCGAGAGAAGCAGGTGAGTGCACATTTGTATTCGATTCGTTTTACGCAGTAACGCAACATGAACAAAGTGTGGAACAGGCTGAAATCTTCTTAGTCAGTAATCGTCTTAGTGATTTGGTATAACAGTTCAATACTGACTGTCACTATCTATATTAATTTTTAATTTTAACAATAATAATTTTAAACGCATATGCCTTTTCATTTCCGGACACTCATCAGTCGGTTAACGTTTGGTCAATTTTGAGACAGATGATCAAAATTGTTACGAATGAAAATGAAACAACACGAGATCTTCAACTGTAGGTTCTGGTCTTTTGATTGAATCCATGACTTAGAAACAGATATCAGGAATTTAGCAGTCAAGGTTACTTCTATCTGCAGATAAGCGATGACAGATGACGGGAACGGGTGTACTCAGGGTGGCAAATCAAAAAGTGATCGAGCAACAGGAACTTACTGAACGACAACGATAAACGGCAATTTCAACGGAACGGACGGATCATTTTCCTCGTCGATGCTTTGCGACTTATTGTAATAAAAGATTTTACAAAATAGTTGTGTTTTGAATGGAATGAGAGATGAAATGCATGATGAAGTCCAACACTTCATTCTTATCATTTATT